TTATAAATGGCATGATGTATCGGTATATTATCGTGTACTATTTTGAAAGTGATCAACGAAATGCAAGCTTGAGCAATTGTGTTAACCATGTAAGGGAAAACATGGTCGTGATAAGTTACATTTAAGCGCTACATATAAAAATGTATGTAGCTTATCCTTGTCGTTTTGAACCAATCAGATGTTACTCCACACTTTACCTATTATTGTCATGTTGTGTTGTGTTATAGCAAGAAAAGAGAATTTTAATCTGATTTGATTTATATTTCACAAACAGTGTATGATTGCCTCATAAGAAAAAAAAATATTAAACGATTTTTTTCAATTTTTAATTGATTCTTCATATGATCTTAATATTACAGCAATTGTCGAAAATTTTTTGTACTTAATTTGACAGTTTTCTATCGAATATTGATTATTTGAACGATTAGATGTTTAGATTTCATCTTAGAAACAGTTTCCTGGCTAGATATTATATGGAATTCCTTATTATACACAGCTGAATTACATTTTTCTTGTATGATGGAAAAAAATAGTGAATTTCAATAGTAGTTGATTTGTCTTCATATTTTCTTTACTATTTACATTATTTTTGGTATTGTTCTATCTTTATAATAAACAAAGGAACTTGAATCTAGTTTTGCTGATTATGATTTACATGAAACAGATATTCAAAACAGTTTAAAAATGAATGACCTCTTCTCACTTTTGTTCAATCGAATAAATCACAATAAATACTGTAATTAATATAAGGAAGACGTTACAAATCGCTTTTTGGATGTGAAGATTTAATGTATCTGTAAAAACCAACAGTTTTATCTGATACAGGAAGATCAATAGATTATAATCATATAATCTCCAAAACTTCGATAAATAAAATTCTTATATAAAAAATTGAAATAATCAGAGCACAAAATATTTTTCAAAATACTTGAAAATAATTTCTATTGCATCTTAAAAGACACAGATCGGGATTTAAATATAATCATAGTTCAATATTGCTGTTTGACTTGCAATTTACTCTGTTGTATTTCTTATATTAGAACAGCTGTACTGATCTATACATTACATGCAGCAGTGTTCTACTGTTACTCATTTTTAGTAAACCAATAAAATAGAGCGAAACATTAAAATAAAACAAGCAAATTTTGTCACGTTTGAATGATACAATACTTTTTAACTTTCATGAGTTTCATTTAATCATAGAACGAAAATAAATGGCATTAACTGATTGTGCAATATTGAAATATTACAATGAATATCAACGGTACATTGTATAGTATTTTGGAAAAACTTTAGACTCACAAATTAATATCTGAACTGTTTAGATCAATTATTCAAGAGCGTAGGGAAGCATATAGCTCATCACAGTCAACTAATACATTCATTAATTCAAAATCTTATTTGAAAGAAACCTTTTATTAAGTGTGGATGATCCGTTTTTGGAAGCAGTTTAAATAGAAAAGCAATATTAAAAACGATCTTATTCCTTTCTCAGTGTGGTCCGTGAAATTTGACAACACGTGATTATCAATCAAATGTATATATGTTTTCATTTGGTTTACCACGCTTCACATAGAAAAAAGTCTCGCACAGAGATAGATATGTTTTAAATCGCATGATGATGGAAACTTTTTGCTTGATAAAAAAAGAAAAGACACGTGTTGTAGATATTTAAGAGAGAAATTGTGCTTCAATGTATTCAACGTAAGATATAGACAGATTGAAAAAAAGCATGTGACGTTATGAAATGATCATATAACACATTAACATGCGGTTCTATGACAGTCTTATGTTATATGGGTTCTTTTTATCTCTCTCTTTTGCTCTCTCTCTTATCAGATGATGATTTATTCAATCTATTTCACAAATCGTAATTAGAAAAGAAATTCCGTCTTGTTCTTAATATATCATAAATATAGCTTTATATAACATTAATATAGGAAAAATAATCAATTTACTTTGTTTACTCTATTTTGTTTTCTAACTATAAAGACTTATTCAAGCCTAGTATTTCAATAAATTAGTAAGACAAAACTTTTCGTTTCATCAATTTGTTTGAAATATTTCATTTACTCATATAAGCTTTATTTTATTTATTATAACTAGATAAAAAGGAAAAAGTATATCTTCTATGGATTTCGATGACGAGTCATCTGATGATCAAAATGATAATCTAGATGAATTAGAAGAAATAGTAAAACATGCAGCAACAAAACCACAACAAACTACTCGTGAAAGTCGTATTTTCGAAAGTGCAAAATCTATTTTGCAGAATATTTGCGGTGTTATTTCTACAACATTACTTTCAAAAATAGAAATTCAAACTGCTGAACGTCTCGTCGATGATTATTTTCTTGTCGCCCTCGATGACTTATTTCAAGATGTTGATGATATTGATCGAGACGGATATGTTAAACTTATACCGGACGAAATGGATTTATTATTCTGTGGTCGACTTGCTGAATACGGTGTTACATGGGATACATATTCAAAAAGTATCACACTCCCTGATATATGGAAAAATCGTTTATCTTCCAATGGTATGGAATATTTAAGCACCATGGCCGTTTATCGACCATTTCTGAATTTACCAACAATTCAATTACCAAATAATGTACAAAATATTGATCATGATTATTGCAAAGCAGCAAAACGTCTTCTATCAACTGCAAAGGATAGTTTCTTGAACGATGAATCACTGAATCGTATGTATGAAAATATTTTTCATCTAATGTTGCTTTAAAAGGCGTCATAATAATGAAATCATCGTTTGAATATGCAGCTGTCTTCTATTTTTCTACATTTTAGTCGATCAACATGCGGATCAAATGAATTCTGGAAAAATATACACATCGACTCCTAAAAGATCAAATGATTATGCAGGTAATTCTTGTTGATATATTTTTATTCTGCTTGATTACTTAAACAGTTATTCTTATTGTACAAGCATAAAGCAGTTTTTTTCACTTGATTTTATTATCTGTTTACTTCTATAGAAACATTTATCGATTGGAATAAGTTACGAGAAAAAATCATTGGTTTAAGCAATTCGGATGCGGCTTCGTGTTATATCAATGCAGCTCTTCAATGTTTAGCTAGTACACCACCGCTACTTGATTGGATGATCAAGCAAAAAGATACCTTAACTATATGTGAGTAAATTATCATTTACATTAGATGAATAAAAAAGGAAACACAAATCGATTTTATGCGTCAGAAATAGTTAAATTGGTGGTATTGAAACCATGTTTTTAATTCATTATTTCCTCATTTCGTTATATAATTTTGAAAATTTCTTTGATAAATGTTTAGGTGAATTGTCAAGTCAAGGAATGTTTTGCTCTATCTGTCAACTGGCAAATGCCATAAGAACTATTTCTCCAGCTTCAAAAGATAGTGTCTTCAATAAACATCAACTTGCTGGTGCTGCATCTGCTGCGTGTATCAGAAATAATTTAAGCGAACGTTCACCGACGTTCATAATTAATGAGCAAGAAGATGCTAATCTCTTTATTACTAATTTACTAGCTCATTGTGCTAGCTGCTTTGTTCCTCATATGTCAATGTTATCAATTCAACCACCATCAACGATTATTGATCAAATATTTCGTATTATACTTTCGAATATCATTGAATGTTCATCTTGCTTTAATGTTAGTACAAAAGAAGAATTCGTTTATACCTTATCGATCGAAATTAATAATATGATTCATTTATCAGATGCACTATTACATTTCGTTAAACCGGAAATATTATCTGATGATAATGCGTATCATTGTTGTAATTGTAAAAGATTGGTTCGAGCTACTAAACGTCTCACCATTCGTGATTCACCACCAATCTTAATCATTAACTTGAAAAGAAGCACTAGTTTCGGTTCTTCAACAAGCAAACATACACAACAAGTAAATTACGATGATCTACTGAACATCCATCCATATATGAATGATAAATTAGTCGATTCAAACAAAGAGAATGAAAACAATGGTCAATCAAACAATTATGTTTATCGATTGTATGCTATTATTAATCATATTAGTGAGAGCAACGAAAATGGACATTATCATTCATATGTTCGAACATCAGAAAACAAATGGTTTATTGCCAATGATCAACACTGTCAAGAAGTATCACTGGGACAAGTATTTAATAACAGAGATGCTTCTATATTTTTTACGGCAAAACATCTAATACAATTATAAATCAGAAAAATATTTAAAAAAAACCATTACAATGTTCATCAATAGATAATTGTCTTATTACAACTCCTTCAGTTTCATGTTCCTCGGTACAAGAAACATTTTCGTAACAAAATATATCTATTGTAAACATTTCTTTTACAGATTACGACAAGTGTACCAGTTACAAATATATATTCGATCAATTCTCCAGATAAACGAGCTACAACTAGTAGGTATAAACACAAGCATATGAAAGATATCATTTGGAAACTTTAATTCAATGATGCTGTATTTATTTAATACATTGTACATAACTATTCTCTTATAGCTAAATATCGATTAAATACCAGCTCAACATCAGAAACTTTTGATACGAATTTCAACGAACAATTGAATGTTATTCCACATAAAGAAATACCATCTGGATTTACTCAAAGCAGCATAACAATTACTCCTAAAAATCCAAAGAAAATGTCGCAACAACAAACATCAAATGCAACGCATGTAGCTGCTAAACGTAAATTCCGTCATAGATTGTTCTAATTCACTTTTTTTATTCAATTTCAATTTTGATTTTTCAGGTTCAATATATGATTCTACATCATCTTTGCAAGAAAATTCGGTTCCATCTAAGCGAGTTCATCAATCAAATACTGACACATCTGATATCATAAATTCGCAAAAAGGTACGCAAAATAAGTTTATTAAGCGACTTACCTCTACATGTATTGTGTAATTCGAAGAATCGATTATAAAATTTAGTTTATATTAAATAATCACATGATACTATCGATCTAGTCGTCTACTGTTTTCAATGCTTGATGGAAGTGATTAATAGCACGTGTTATCAGTACTCTAGATAATAACTCATAACTGAAATTCGTATTTTTGAATAAATTATCTTTTTAACTTATAGATATCAGCCGTGTTGTAGCTTCTGTGGCATCAGGTGTATCATTAGAAGAAGTATTTGAATGTAGACTTCCTCAACAACATCAATTCAAGTTGAACTCAACTCAACTTCTCAATATGTTGAATTGTCGAACAGAAGTATTGCAAAAAGAGCATGACAAGAGAATGAAACAATTAGGATTAACATCTGAACCATTTGCATTTGAAAGACAATCGAGTGATAAATCAAAATCAATTTCGATCGATAATGACAAAAATGTGTGTTCAATGGACATTGATGACAATGATGAACTACCAACAAGAACAGTTAATATTGAATACTTTAATATACTTCATCCTCATTTGAAACATTATAATTCATATTGTGGCTTATGTATTTGCACACGTTATTTTGGACATACTATTTATCAGCCAACTGGTCTTCTTCTACGAGTAGTTCTTCAATGTGGTGGTAGAGATTGCCCATTTAACTGTGAAGTAACTGTTTGGAATAATGGTCAATGCTTTATTACTGCATATAATAGCACAGTTTATCATCATGTAGATGAACAAATATGCCGTCCAATTCGTGGTTCACGTCGTGAAGAAATAAAACAAAAATTTAAAGCTGGTGGATCGGTTCATCATGTTTATGGTCAATATAATGACAAACGAACAGCACTTGAAAAGAAAGGTTTCAACCATGATACCACTGGAAAAACAAAAAAGGTTTTTAAAAAGATTAAAGCTGAAACAGTTTCTGACTCATTACTTGCACCTGATGTTACATCAAGTATTTTGAAGTTACATGACGAATTAATTAAAAGAATTAATTGCGCTGGTGTAGTTCCTGGTGCTCTTCAAATTGTACAATCAAGACCATTTTGTACTATTGTTTTTACCGAAGCATCCATTCGATTATACGACGCGATTATCGCGCATAAGGACTCTGTTCTTTCGTGGGATGCAACGGGCGGAGTTGTCAAAAATTTTGGATCAAAACAAGTTTTATATTATGAATTGACATTATCCCATCCAAATATTGTAAATGAGGACTCGTTAATTCCTTTGACATGCATGCTGTCTGAATCTCAATCATTGTTCACTGTCACCCAGTGGCTATCTGCATTTAAAAATAACCATAGAAAAGTAAATACAACATGAACACATTATTTTTTATCATAAATATTTGAAATTATTTACATTATTCTTTATTGTTACTAGATTTTTCCACATAAACGAGACTGTTTTCCAAGACCTGCAGTAGTTTTATCTGATCGTGCACAGATCTTTTTACAAGCAGCTCTTCGTGTCTTCAATGATGAAAACTATCAACAATTTCTTTCAAGGGCTTATCGTATTGTTTCGAAGAAAGCTGTTCCAAATGATTTCACGAAAACAAATATTCATGCATGCTTGTCACATTTTATGTTGGTAAAAATATATTCTTGTCAATCATGCATGGCTCTCTTCATGAATTTTCTATTGAATAGGACATGCGAAAACGAATTAACAAACATTTACCAGAAGAAATACGTGAATTTGCGATGTGGTCAATGGCAGTTTTGGTAAACAGTAGCACCTATGATGAAATCAAAGAAAACTGGCGTCTCATTTGTCAAGTTTTTCTTAATTATACGACCAACAGCAACTTACATTTCAAAAAATACTATTCTATGCTTTTATCTCGTATTATGAAAATAACAAGTGATCCAAATGCATCAAAAGCCATCAGTCAATCAAAAGATTTAGTTAAAAATACCAATGATCCATATGAATTTGATGATGACGAATCATTTCATGATTTTGATAATTCTGGTGATGCTGGGCATGAACATAATGAATTCCACTTGAATGCACATACTGGAAAAAATAAAAAGAAAAAACAATCCGGCACTTCACATGTATGTAATTATATTCAACATTCATCGGTAGACAATATACTAATACATTTCTGTTGGAGAAATATAGATAGAATCTTGAAAGGTATATGTTGACAAGAGGGAAACAATAGATATAGATACAGTAGGTATCGAGAATATGTTTAGACTGAATATACGTTCAAGATTTTGACTACTATAATCATATTCAAATATGATAAGATGTAGAACAATCAGCTGGTATCATATGATATCTCTTGCGCATTCTTATGTATATAAGTGAGACCTGGATCTCATGACGTCATATATATGTACTATATATTTGTTCGTTCTTCTATATCATATGTTCATGACATCATATGTACCTTATACATATGTTCAAATGACCCTTGATCTACATACATATTGTTCTTTATGTCATATTTATCTGTCATGTACTCTCCTGATTTCGATTTCTTACATAATTTTTTTTTAATCTTTCATTCACATATTCTAACTTCACAAATATCGTTAATGTAAATGTTTTTCCATCATCCAAAAAACTTGATTTAAAGCTCGCTATGAAATTTTTCGAAAGAATAATCAGTTTGCTTGAATTAAATGATTTACGGTTGCTTTAATGTTATCTGATTTTCTTTCGAGTGGATAGAACTATTCTTGATATGCAGCTAGTTACAAGTATTCTCTTGTTCGAAGTCCTTCGTTATTCGTATTAGAATTCTTATGAAATGTATTCAATTTATTTGCAGATTATTGATGAAGAAAAAGAGCTCAATGAAGTCGATAGTCCATTTAAAGATGACTTGAATACCATATATTATGAATGCTGTGAACAAAGTATTCAAATTAATAGCACACCATCATCAACCGATAAAATATCAAAAGGATCACGTATATGGCTATCGTTCACTCTAAAAAAAAAGGTACACTAACCGAACCATCAAAAAAGGTTTCGTAGATGACAAAAAGCTTCCAAATGATTTAAAATGTCGAAAGAAAGTAACATAAAAAATTACGAAACCTTAAAGGTTCCGATTCTGTTTCCGAGGGAAGAACCATTGCTCCGAAACCTTTTTAAGTTTCGTATAGATAGGAAAAAGGTAGAGCAGGATAATACATAACCTTTAGGTTTTCTTTGGATCCACAAAGGTTTAGGATCAAACCTTAAAGGTTCCGCCTAGGACCATACAAAATCACGAAGGTCGGTACGAAACCTTTATGGTTCCAGAGAAAACCTAAAGGTTATGTATTATCCTGCCGAACCTTTTTCCTATCTATACGAAACTTAAAAAGGTTTCGGAGCAATGGTTCTTCCCTCGGAAACAGAATCGGAACCTTTAAGGTTTCGTAATTTTTTATGTTGCTTTCTTTCGACATTTTAAATCATTTGGAAGCTTTTTGTCATCTACGAAACCTTTTTTGATGGTTCGGTTAAGTACCTTCTTTTTTAGAGTGTGATTGGATTAGACAATCAAACAAGCAAACTTTAACGATTTTATCCTGGCTATTTTGGAGCCTATAACCCTATCTTTCAGAAAAGGGAATTATATTACAAGTAACGCTCGTCTGTGAACTCGCTGAGCTCTTTCTCGTAGAAATCATGCTCTATAATATCACTGAAGTTTCTGTTTACATGATATGTAAAAACTGACTTAAGATTCGTAATTCTCGACCTCGAAAAGCCTTCGGTCAAACCTTGCCAAAAAACAATTTTTCCGTAAATAATAGTCCTTTGTCTAAAAAATTTTTTTTATCAAAAATCTCCAAAAACTAACATCAGATTCGTATTCCAAGATCTCAAAAACCGTCGAGTCAACCATATAAAAAAAAAACTTTTTCCTAAAAAATTGTCCTTTGTCTAAAAAAATGCCTTTTTTAAAAATTAAAAAAAAATAACATCAGATTTGTGTTCATCAACCAAAAAAGCCCTTTCGTGAGATTTATAAAAAAAAGTTTTTTCGTAAAAAGTGGTTCTTTGCCTAAAAAACGTTTTTTTCTTTAAGTTTCAAAAAAATAACATCAGATTTGAGGTTCCCGACCTCGAAAACCTTTTGGTCAGTTTTCAAAAAGAAATTTTTTTTGTAAAAAAATGGCCCATTATCTAAAAAAATGCCTTTTTTCTCAAAAATTTCGAAAAACTAAGATCAGATTTGAATTCCTCGACCCCAAAAGCCCTTTGGTAAAATTTTAGAAAAAAAAAATTTTTTTGTAAAAAAAGTGGTTCTTTGTCTAAACAAATAATTTTTAATGAAAAATTTCAAAAAAATAACATCAGATTCGAAGTCTCCGCATCGAAATACCTCTGGAAATGTCTTTTCGGAAAAATCGATTTTCGATGTTTTTTTACCCTGCCGACGTACGAGCAAACAAGCGAGCAAGCGAACAATTTATGTTTCTAAGACTCTTCTCTATCAGTGTGAAGCTAGCACGAAGGAGCTAGCACGAAGAAACTGTGTGTAAGCTAAAAACTTTTTTCCAANAATTCTGCATCGACTAGTGCCACTTTTATTCACCGGAAAACGTTCGGAAAAAAGTTTTTCGAATTAAAAAAAAATTTTTGTATATATATGCGAAAAAATAAGAATTAAGGTAAACTCCATACCGAACGTTTTCCGGTGAATAAAAGTGGCACTAGTCGATGCAGAATTAAATTCTGCGTCGAATAGACTCTTTTCCAGGAACCGGAATTCGTTCTGGACAGAGATATTGCGTGCCGACGGTCGAAAAATGATGCATATGCATGTATCGAGGATAAAGAAAGATCAAAGAAAATTTTTCTCCGAACGTTTTCCGGTGAATAAAAATGTCATCATTGAACTCAGAATTAAATTCTGCATCTAACACACTCGGTTTTATCGACCGGAATTCGTTTTCAGAAAATCCTTAGTTTGATGGTGCTAGCTTCACACCGATCATTTTTCACCTGTTGTTTCGTTATTTTCATAATAGCAGCAACATCATCAAGCAGTTGTTCCAAAAGACCTCTTTTAAGAGGTTTATTTGGAAATGCTACATGACCTTGTCGACCGACAACTATCATTTTCAAGTGTTTTGAACTTGGAATATAAATAAAATTCTAAGTTTTGTTTAAAAGGTTTCCAAATTCATCACCATGCAACTGTTTTGGAACGTTAGTAGCCATCTAAAAGATGAAATGAAATGCCTTGTACTCAGTATAATTGGCATTTAGTAGAATGGATTTCGAACATTGCAGAAATCAATCATATTCATGTACATATTTTTTAAAGTTTTCCTCCAATTCTGAATAAATTTCTTTATCGATAGGATAGAAATGTTGATTCACGTAGATGGATTTTCCTCATTATAATCAATTCGTATCTAAACCTTTTCGTGCAGTTTATTTAATTTTTCAAAAGATTAATAGTTTTTAAAAAAGGCAACCACGCCTTCAAATTTATTTTTGAAGAAAAGAACAAAAAAATCGATTAAGGAGATAGTTCAATAATAAATTGTTCAATGAGATTATCTGACATCAAAGTAAAAGAATTGAATATGTTGACTAGATATTCAAATATATAAGAAAATGTGATCATATTGTTGCAAATTGTACACGTAATTCTCGTTTTTCATTCAGTTGAATTTGTTTGATTGTTCGACTTTGTTCACTATCGAAATTCAATGCTGATGTTCGTTCAACATTTGTACATGTCATTTGAATTTGTTCATTTTTATCTGTAAGAAGATTCCAAAGACCTTTCAATCGATCAGGTAATAGTGGTCCACCATCAATTGTTAACATTGAGTTCGATTGAAAGTGAACGTTGAGGTATTTTAATGATGAGTGAAGAAATGGACGTGGTGACATTAATGTTGGTGGAACGCCAGTCAATGAACCAGTTAGGGCCATACATGTTCGTTGAGATTTATTCAAAAGAAAATTAAATAAACTATTTACAGACGATAAATCTCGAATAAGAATTGTCGTTGAACGTGTTTTATCACTGTTGGATTTTTTCTTTGTTGACGTACAGCGACGATCATTTGCTGAATTTGTTGAAGATGCAGCAGATAAACCTATATCTTCTAACCACTGTGCGCATGATGCATCATTTTCATCAGCATTATCATCGTCTTCTTCTTCCTCATTATTTTTACTCAACGAATCGTCACCACTAAAATCATCCTCCTAGATTTTTATAAGACGTATGTTTTGGTTTACATACTCAGCCATTGTAAATTCGATTCCCTCACGTTCGAATGTTGCTCTTAAGCCGCTCGTTGTTGGGCTAATTACAGCAACAATTTGTGACGATGAATCTTCTCGAAATAAGATGTTGAACGTGTGTGTACACATGTAAAAGAACGTGCAATATTTAGTTCTAAATGCTTGAAAAAGTGATTGAAATGCACTTTTCCATTCATCTTGAAGCGCGAGTTGTGCTTGTTCGTCCAAAGGTGCAAAACTTGCATTGCTTTGTTGTTGTTGTTGTTGTTGTGAACGTGGAAATAGTTTTAACCAAGAAATATGTGGATATGTCCAGTAGGATGTTAAGGAACGAAAAAGAGCCTTCTCGTTCTCTTGATCTTTATTGGAACAAATGTATTCTAGAGCAAGAGCTTCATCAGCTGAACGAAGCTTCATAAATTGGTTTAAAAATCCTGATGAAGGATTCAATGAATGAAATCGACAAGAGGATTTCAATGACCAATCAATTGGAAATGCAAGAAGGAATTCATCCGACGCTTTATTATCTAAATAAATCGGTTTGAAAACAGAATTTATGAGAAGAAACTTTTCCATTACTTATCTCGGCCGGATCAAATGATTCTTCCAGTGAGAAGCTTCTCATTGTTGATTGAAAATGTTGGTCATTGGCGATTACCGCTGACGGTGGCGGCATAATTTGGTGAAGTTTAGCAAGAAGATGTTCGTCATTACTCTTTTCAACTGCTGTTGTTGTTGTTGGAGGGGGAAGATTTGGTGTCACATTTTCATCCGACGTTGGTGTTGAAATTGAACGCGCCAAGGCGAATTTATTGATCATCGGACGATTCCGTTTTGCATTGAATTTCTGAGAATTTCTTTCATTTGCTTGTGATGAAAGTGTTTGAAGAGATAGATCTGAATTGATTTTATGACGAATACGTTTTAATGATATTCGTGATGGAACTTTCCATGGTGAAAGCGGTTTTCCACTATTTAAATCCATGATTTTTCAATGAAATCTAGAATTCATCAGCTGTTTAGTTGAAGGACTAACCAAATTGTTTCCATTGGTCAATACATCTCGTCCAATGGAAATATTTTCAATACTTTTTCACAAAAACTCTTCTCATTTCCAAATCAAATCAAATAGATTTTTTTTGTAATCTCAAAAATAAAATTCTGACTAAAACAATTCTAAAATATTCATTTTATACGGCATGGTAAACAGTGGACTGTTGTAGAGGATCCATTTGTTGTTTTTTTTTAAATTCATTCTTGTATTTAGTTGATGGAGAGATACTAAACGAACGAAAATTTCTGTTATTTTATTTCAGATTGTTTGACTAACTTATTTTCTGTCAACAATGAGTACCGGTACTAAGATCATGAAAAGTGGTAGTGAACCACCAACAGCACTTGAACTCGATGTTTCACAAGTAAAAACAAACAAAAATTGATAAAAAAAAGAATAGAAACACACTCATTTATTTTAGCAATTGACTGAACTCGAAGGTAATGCACAATTTAAAGGTCAATTACGGGAACTTTACGTCACTGGAGCCAAGGTTCGTATGCTGACAAAGTTCTACCAGGACTGATTTTGTTTGTTTCAGAGAGTTGAATTGGGCGATGGACGATCAGCTCTTGTTATTTATATTCCAGTGCCAAAAGTGAAAAATTTTCAACGAGTTCATTCATTACTTGTTTCGGAATTGGAAAAGAAATACAATCAAACTGTAGTTCTTCTTGGACAAGTATGTTTTTTCTCTTCTCTGCTTAGGAAATCCGTCATTCTTTGTCTTTAGCGTCGAATTTTACCAAAACCAACACGTAAATCGAAGACACAATCGAAACAAAAACGTCCACGAAAGTATGTCGTTAATTCAAAGTGAAACATTTGAAGATTCGAAGTTTTATTCTAGCCGAACATTGACTGCAGTTCATGATGCTATTTTACATGATCTTGTCTATCCAGCTGAAATTACAGGCAAACGTATTCGTATCAAATTAGATGGATCTCGTTTATTCAAGGTTCATCTTGATAAAAATCAACAAACACTTGTTGAAAATAAGGTTTGTCCACTTCTCTTTCATAGATCTTTACTTTCACCGTTTCATTTCTCTTTTCCAGGTACCAGCTTTTCAATCCATTTATAAGAAACTTACCGGCAAAGATGTTCACTTCGAATTTCCCGAAGTGCTCGTCTAAATGAACACAAGACAAAAGAAGAAAAATGATTTCGATAAGCAACAGTTTCTAATGCTTGTTGTTTGTTATTGTTGTCCATCATCTGTTAATTAAAGAGAAAAAACATCAACAATAAAAAAAAAAGAAAACATCAAGGAGAACTATTGCTCCATTTTAGGACAATAATCTGTCATTCGTCATTTTCCTGAAAGAATCGTAGACAAACGAGAGTTCTTCGTGGATATTTATCATATATGCATTTATTTTCCTCAGAGAAAAAATCAACACAATAAGAGAGAGAAAAAAGCAAAGAACATCAGAAGAAAAAGACATTTCTAACATAGCAAATCACATAAATAGTTGAATTTAATCGAAATCCATAAACATTGCTCCTGCACCTGAGCTTGATCCATCATTATTTCCATCATTTCGTCGATTATTATTTGTTGAGGATTGATTTTGTTCTGGGAAAATATTGTAATATTCACGATTAGTGGTATTATCACCGTCCAATGTTACACGACACGTTGGACATGTTCCATGCTAAAAGAAAGAAGTTCGATAAGCATCAAATTAATACGAATGAAGGAAATTTTACCATTCGTAACCATCGTGATATACATGCTTCATGAAAATGATGTGAACAGGGAAGTCGTTTCGCCTCATCATTCTCATTGAAATCATCCATACAAATAGCACACTGTAAACTTTCACCTAAATCAAAAGTACTTGATTGATAAGCTTGTTTTGTTCGTCGAAAAAACACTTACGCGCTTGTTCGGCTGTGACTTTCACTGTTGGAATCGTGTTAATACGATTTTCAGATGCTGGCGCTGGTCCACTGTTTTCGCCCAACTGATTTAGAAACTAAATAAACACAAATCAAAGAGATTTTAGAACGACTACAAAGTCGCATATGTACCTGAGTGAGAAATGCTTCGATATTGAGTGATTCACCCATTCCTGGTCCACTGACACTGTGCATAGCACTATGATAAGAATAGACAGATTCAAGTTTGACCAGAAAGATCAACTTACAATGGAGATTGATGTTCACCATTACTGACAAGTACACCGCCGATTTGCTGAAGCACATTTTGAAAAAACATTCCCATATCTTGGTTTTCATAACGATGTACATGACTATTTCCGGGATGACTACCGCCAATAAAGATCGTTGTATTACCAAACGGAGTAGAATTATGGAATAGTGTTCGTTCGCCACTACGCGATTGACCACTCTGTCTGGATTGTCTAGAATTTTCCCAAAAATAAACACAAAATTTGCTTTTAAAATGAAACATACGATGACGATTGATCTGGAAGAAGTTCTTCGATAAAACTATCGTGACAATGTGGGCATTGAAAGTCCTAAATAGCTTGAACTAGGATGAAAACATCGGAAGTGCAAAGATTCTTACTGTAACATGTCCAATATGTACTCGACATTTATGACAGTAGTACTCCGTTTCTGCAGCTGCCATTTTCGAATTGGATAGAATTAACGAAAAAAGGAGCACTTATTGATTATTTATTTATCTAGAATTTGTCAATCAGTAGGAGAATTCTCATGCAATACAGCAGAAAAGTGACGACAATCGAATATTCTAGAACAGGGAAATAATTTTAGAAAATGCAATAAGTGCTACAGATTATAAGTAAATTTTGATGAGTCAGCTAAGAAGAAGACACATAGACGTGCGTACGAGCGAAGTAAAGAAGAGACTTTCAATTACTGATTATGGACGAAAAACATTTCGATTGGTCGAGAACACAACCAATGAGTACTACAAAGACATGTATATATGTATGTATATCGCGAATGAAAGAAATAAACAATAATAATATAAAAATGTATTCAGTATTGAAAAGAAGAACAATTGATTTGCTTTTAGATTAATAAAATAAAAATGAGCAGCGGCGTTGCTGCTTCGCTTCGTCGAATTTTCATCGCTAATCAACAACATCGTTTACTTATTGTATCAACATGTTCGATTCCTCGAAATCAACGAACATTTTCCATGCAATACAAGGATACAGAGAAACCACCTCATCCGTTCGACTACGTTAACAAAAATTATAGTAATTCGATAAAATTTTGGAGAAAGTTTAGCTATACAGTTTTTGTTTAGACTTTTTCCGCCATTTTTATTTGGGTGGTCATTATACTTTAGCAAATATACATGATAATACGTTATTCTTTCATGTTGAATCGAATTTTGGTGTTCGTCGATCGGATTTCGTTAAACGTTTAGCAAATCATATTGGATTTTTACCTATTTCCAAACCGGATGTTGATCGAATGCATTTTATTGATGAAACCGGTACTATTAACACAAGACAATTTCATAACGACTATTGTCTACCAAGAGATCGTATACCTTCTCCTGAAGAATGGCATTTGAATCCAAATTATCATGCAACTGTGCGTCTTTTAAGACCACTTTTACAAACAATGACTTATCAATTAAGAATGGGATTATCACACATGTTTTCAACCGGTATGTCTCTGATTTTCTCTACGCTTTGATATTATTATTGATCTTTAGGTCAAGGAATTGTTACGGATCGATCATATTGGAGTTTTTATGCTACTCTTAATATTCTTCGTGAATTCGATTTCATCAGCCAAGATAGTAAGTTCATTCCCATAATTTAATTTAAGGTTAGGAAAGAAAAAAACATTTGTCCATTCATGTTGTTACTTGTAGAAAAGTATCAGAAAATAATTGCAAACTAATCTCGTTCACCTAAATCAATAAAACAATTTTTGATTGTAAATAGCATCATGTAGTTTAATAAGAGGATAGTTAGATTTTTTTTCTCCTCTTTTTTTACTGTTAACGTATGAGAATTTACTATGACAACAGTCATTTAATAGAAAAAACAAATTCTTTTTTCTCGAGATGTTTACTAAGAACAGAAACGTGTGAAAATGCTTTTTTTTACAAAAAGAATCAATTTATGTCTCTGTTTTACTCGCACAACGATTGAGATTTGATGGAGAGAGTTTCTTTTTATCAGGAATTAATCAGATTCATCGAGGTATTCTTAGTCCTATTTGAAAATTTTCACTAAATTTGTTTTCTTTTCGCAAAGGTTATGATTTTCTTTTGGAATACAAAGTATCAATTGATTATAATTTGAAAATGCCTCGTTTGATCATCTTTATCGATAAAGATCCACATGCTATTTGGGAAGATATGAAAAAAAATGGCAAAGTAAACCGCGAAATTCTTTTGTACAACTAAATCTTCTTATTTGATTTTAAAGGATTATCAAAAAGGAAGTAAAGTATATTCATTAGAATTGCTTCAAGCAATGGATCGAATGTACAAAGAGGAATGGTTACCAAGAATGAGGTTTGTTTGTTGTTCGTTTTCGAATAGAAAAATGAAAAATATTTTCTTTTTTTTTCAGTACATATTGTCACATTCTTCAATATAATGAAAACGAAATAAAAACATTGGAAGATGTAAGAAGTTTTGTATCCTGTTGAAAGGAAAGATCAAATTTTGACGTTATTTGATTTAAGGTTGTTTTTGATATCGAACAACTTAATTTTGATGATACAAACAAGTTTCCTGATTGGCGTCTAACAGTTGACATTGAATTAGAACGATTTCGTGCACAGTATGTTCATGATTTTCGTTTGTTGTTTATTCATGCTTGTTTTTTGATGATTCAGACTTCAAAATGAACACTTTTGGACACGAATGTTCAATGTTAATCGTCTTCTTCATCTTTCCGAATGGTGGACTGAACCTAATGCACAAAAAAGTCAATTAGGTCTTATGAAATATGTAAGTTCCTAGAGATTACTTTCCACATTTCCATTGATATGTTGTTTAACACTATAGGATCCTCGATATTATTGGACAACAAATAATTGGGATATAAAACCATTCTTTCGTCGTTACCAAAGCTGGACTCGTTTACCGTTTTATTAATCTACAATCCTTCGATTGAAAAAACTCCTCTCTTTTCTTTTTTTCTCTTCTTTTCATCGTGTATCTATCTTTTGTCCTTCTACATAGAACATCAACATCATTTTCTATCAATACCAACAGCAGTTTAGTTCTTTGTTTCTTCTTTTTTAGATTATTTCCATACTCATAAAGACATGGCTGATCGTAATGCACAGATTCGAGCATCATTAAATGCGAAACTAATCGAGAGTGGTGAACGAGAACGGTATTGGGTTTATCTCTTAATACTATTTCATCTGATTTACTTTATTAATCTATAGAATGAAGCAATTGTTAAGACAACGATTGATGGAATACGGTTGGAGAGATCAAATGAAAGCATATTGCAAAGGTAAGGAACAAACTTTAAGCATCAATTTATGACTAGTTCTATTTCTATTCTATAGATATTGTTAAACAAAAAGGTTTGGAAAATATTACAGTTGATGAGCTTGTTCAAGAAATAACGCCAAAAGGTCGCGGTAAGTACCTTGTTTTTCTTCTCATTTTCGTTTGATCATTTTCATTGTTGATTTTAGCACTTGTTCCTGATTCGATCAAAAAGGAGATGTTGACTGTTCTTCGTCAATATTTATCAAAACATGAAGAGCTCTGAACAATGATCATTTTTCATTCTGTCCTTCTGTATATGTTGTGTTTGTTCTTTATAAAATGAATAATAAAGAAAAAAAAAGGATTCTTATTGATACTGAAAGAAATGTGATAGTTATTTCAGATATGAGTAGTAATACAAATACAGAACAAGAAACAGAAGTTTTTTCACAAAATTTTGTATCTGCTGGTCGATATCGAGGTGGTCCTCATGGCGTCGGTTAGATAAATACTTTTTGATATATGACACAGTATTGATATGTGTATCAATATGTAGGTAATCCCAACGACAAAAGTTTACGAAAAGTCGAATTAGAAGTTTGTATACCAGGTATTATCCGAGAACGTGCACATCGAGAAAAGTGCCATGATTTGATTAATGGTGAGATTGATTGCATAAGGGGAAAATCAGAAGAATTTTCTTTTTTTTTTGCTATTGATGTAGAATTTGGTAAATGTGGCGAGCAACATGGTGCATGGTCTTTCC